TGAAGCCCTGTTCCTGTAGGTGTACGGGAGGCGCCGGGGTGAAGCCCCTGTTCCTGCAGGTGTACGGGAGGCGCCGGAGTGAAGCCCTGTTCCTGCAGGTGTACGGGAGGTGCCGGGGTGAAGCCCCTGTTCCTGCAGGTGTACGGGAAGTGCCGGGGTGAAGCCCTGTTCCTGCAGGTGTACGGGAGGCGCCGGGGTGAAGCCCTGTTCCTGAAGGTGTATGGGAAGTGCAGGGACGGAGCCCCCGTTCCTGTAAAGCCCGTTCCTGTAGGTGTACAGGAAGCGCTGGAGTGAAGTCTCTCTTCCTGTAGGCACACAGGAAACGCTGGGCTAAAGAAGGCCAGGACCCCTTGCCCATCTCCCAGAGGGATTCATAGCCCAGAGCTCTCTCCCTGTGGGACACCTGGCCACGCAGGACATGCTTCCCTGACAACCTCACAGGGCCCTGGCACAGCCCATGCCCATGGGCTCTACCACTAGCACCAACTGCTCACCAGAAACATGTTCTCTTGCAGAAATACACTTGTGCTAACCAAGTTTGTGCGATTAACGTACACAGGCTAAATTCCTGTTTATCTGCGACAACTGCCTCCTGCGTGCCACGTGTACAGCTCTGGGGACATGGCAGGAATAGCATCATGCCTCTTGGGCACACATGGGGGACAGACAGGCAGCTCATGGCCTTCTAGGCACATGTGGAGTCGGACAGGCAGCTCGTGTTCTCCTGGGCACACACAGGGACGGTCAAGGAGCTCGTGTCCTCCTGGGCACACCTGGGGACAGACAGGAAGCTCATGTTCTCCTGGGCACACAAGGGGGATGGACAGGAAGTGCGTGTCATCCTTGGCACACGTGTGGGACGTATGCTCACGTCCTCCTAGGCACACATGGGGAAGGAAGCTCATGCTCCCAGGAAGCTCATGTTCTAGGAAGCTTCATGTCACACAGGGAGCTCATGTCCTCCTAGGCACACATGGGGACAGACAGGCAGCTTGTGTCCTCCTGGGCACACGTGGGGGATGGACAGGAAGCTCATGTCCTCCTGGGCACACGTGGAGATGAACAGGCAGCTTATGTCCTCCTGGGCACACGCATGGGGACTGACAGGCAGCTTGTGTCCTCCTGGGCACACGTGGGGACTGACAAGCAGCTTGTGCCCTCCTGGGCACATGTGGGAGACGGACAGAAAGCTCCTGGGAACACGTGAGGGACAGCTCCTGGGCACACGTGCGGGACAGTCAGGCAGCACGTGTCCAGGAGACAGCAGCATGGAGAAGCCAGTCAGGGAGAGGGTGTGGGTGGTCACAGGGCTGTGTGGACGCAGGGTCCGGGAGAGGCCTCTGAGGGAGCGCTGTGGGTCCCTCACTGTTCTGGCTCCTGGCTACCCTGGCATTTGTGGGCATCCAGCGCCCTGTCTCCTTGCTCTGCACAATTGAGGTGTCCGTTAAGGACAACGGGACCACTCTTTACTGGGAGAAAATAAAATTACGTCCAAAGGCCTCATGACTGAGTATCACTTTCCAACAAGGATTTAACCACAAAATGACAAATATGAAATGAGGGTTTTTAAATATAAACCGTGTGGATAGAACACGGAAAGGGGAGAAGCAGCTCTCTGTGGAAGCAGCTCATCTGCCCCACACAGCACGGGGACCGTGGCCAGCACCACGCAGCGGGCAGGTGCGCATCCGGCTCCCCGAGATGACACACACCTCACCTCTGGGTTTTCCTCCCAAAAACCCGTGCCCCAATTAAGAGACATCCGACAAAATCCTGACCAGTCGGTCCTCTTCAGACCATCAAGGTCCCCAAAACACAAGGGAAGCCTGAGAGATAGAGACACGATGGTTAAACGCAAGGTGGGGTCCTGGGACAGCAGGGGACAGTCACTGAAAAACCAGAACATCCAAACAGAACCTAATCCTGAGCAGCCAGTCCTCTTCAGACCATCAACGTCCCCAAAACACAAGGGAATCCTGAGAGACAGACACATGATGGTTAAATGCAAGGTGGGATCCTGGGACAGTAGGGGACAGTCACTGAAAAACAGGACATCCAAATGGAACCTGGAGTGAACAGTCAAGTCCCCAGTCAGCATCACAGCCGTGAGAGCTGCTCCTGGTGAGAGCATCGGCCAGGGAACGTGGCTGAGACACACAGGACCTCTCATGCCAACTTTTCAATTCCACATTCAACTGGGCACTACAAAACTAAAAGCTTATCAGAAAATATTTCACTTCACGTAAAGAGAGCAAGAGAGGAGACAGCAGGCCTCAGCCCTCCCCAAAGGAACCCCGGTCATGCAACCTGCCGCCCTGCCTGCCAGGGAGAGGCGCTCGCCTGCTGCTGCAATGCCGCTTCTCCACTTACAGCCATGCCCTTCCCACCAGGAGGGCTCCCACCACTGTCAACAAGACCAGGTACCACTCCGGAGCCACAGGGAGGCCAGGTGCTGAAGCAAATCCTACCGCTTGAGGGATGAGACTTGGTCCTTCAATAAACATCTATTTTGAATTTGTTTTTTAAATTCAGTGCTAATCCTAAAACTTATTTTTGCCATATTACAATGGAGAAAATGTTTCAACGGTCACATAAAAACATATGCTTTACCCTGACTCAAAGGCTCGGAACATGAAAACAAAAATGATTACTCCTGACACATAATGGATATTTCCTATAATTCTGCTTCCAAGTACAAGCTGAACACACCGAGTTCAATCCTAACAAGTAAGTTTAATGCCTGTGTGAAGGCCAACAATTCCACTTCAGGAACCAGTCCCGTGGAAATGCTCATTCAGGCACGTGAGCACAGGACGCCTCGGCTGCACCACCTGTGCCATCAAAACGCCCCATCCACCTGCCAGGCACAGCCACCCAGCACAGAGCCACGCGGCCCCAACAGGAGCTGGTGGTCCACGCCGCAAACATGGAACACGAGGAAACGAGAAGACCTGGGGGACGGGGATGGAGGCGGAGGCGCAGCACGACCTGCCATGGGAACCATAAGGAGGCCTGGGTCGACACCTACTCTGGAGGAGCATTCAGGAATGGAACTCCAGGGAATCGGGCAGGGAAGATTCTATTTTAATTTATTTATACTTTCATATCCTGCCGGTTATTTTTAGAAATGGTTTTAAAACCACATTTGTGAATTACTTTCAAAATAAAAGGGACAGGGTAGGGCTCTCATTCCACAGAGCTCTCTGGGTTTTTTCTTCTCTGAAAATAAAAGCTACTTTTATAACTATTAGTGCGTCTAAATCTAGTTTAAAATGTAATTCCACATTTCT